CCCTCGTGTAGCTTTGCGCGAAATTCCAAAACAAACAAACAAACATAACAAAATAAACTTGTCCTTTTTTCTATATTGTGATGCTATTACAGTGATCCAACTTATTGAAGTGAATTTAAGACTTATAGAATTTACACATTCATCATAATGAATGACAACCAGTAATACAATACCTGTCAGTAATAGTTTCGTTTTGAGTTTACTTACTGATTAAGTATATTTTTTTACAAGTTGCAGCTTTTACAGTAAAGAAAAGAAAAGCTGTAACTTGTAATAAAAATACCTGTCAGTATTGGAGAGTATTGTTGTAACGTTATTCTTTTGTTGGACGGATTATTTTAAATTAATTTATGAAAATAATTCGAATTCCAATCCATGTAATGACAACAAATTAATTTATTTCTTCCGTAAAATTTGTAACTTGTAAGCATAAATGTACAAATGACGTTCAAATGCAAATTCCTCACTAACATAAAAGTAAACTTATTTGTACAATTGCATAGATAATTGATCGAATAGCTGAATATACGCGGTAACTAACACTGATCCAAATACTTCTCCAAAATTAACTACTTCCCTGAATGGCCGCCACTCTACCGACTGAAAACAACTGACTCAATGCCTCACTGATTTCCGTATTCATAATATAGTTTTTTTTCCTGATACTTCACTAGTGACTAGATTTTCGTGACGTCATTTAAAACATTCTAGGCCAACCTCCGAAAACTTACTTGATCTTAACGTTATGCGCTTTCTGTCTGCCTAACCCTCTAACTAAAACATTGAAATTTTAGCTCATAATAATATAACTATATGATCCACTTTAGATAAAGGATAACGAATATATTTCATTTTATTGAAACTTTTTCCTAATAAATAAACGAAGTTGAACGACTTCTCCATGTAAACCGTGAACCAGAGATTTACAGTTGAGGTTTGGTTTGTTTGTTTGTTAATAAGCGCAAAGCTACACAATAGACTATACATGTGTTACGCCTCCAGTTGTTAGTTAATTTTCCGTAAC